GTGCTCTGGGACCGGGGAGGAGGAGCTCTCAGCAGCACAAAGGAGAAATGCGTTCACGGTAGAGTCTCTCAAAGTCTCAATAACACCAGAAAAACAGTCGCTAGATTTTCACTAGTCACTTTTCTGAAAAACAGTCTCTAGAGGGTCTGAAAAGTCTGTAAATATAGCGAGAAAGTCACTAAATCAACACCGCTGTGTTCCACAACGCACCACCTCTCATGTCAGCGAGCCGCGTGTCGGGTCAATTACGTCGCACATTGGAGCGGTCAAATTATCGTACATTATGAGATTTTTGGGATTATTGATCATACATCGTATAGAGGGCCAAATTATCGTACAAATACGATAATTATCGTACACCTGGCAACACTGGTGGGTGCCTATCTGCTCCCAGAGCCGCAGCTTCAACCAAACTTGCTGTCACTGAAAGTCCCGCCCTGCTCTGCTGTGATTGGATAAAATGGCTCTAGGCTTCGTCTGATTTGTTGAAGGCAGTGTCTCAGTTTTATCTTTATATCAGGGTCCCGCTGTCCTAAGAGGCTTGGTGAGCACCTAACAATGAACCACTGCAGCTGGATTTTTTTATTTATTTATTTTTTAAAGAAATCAGGTCGCATTTGCGTCCAAGCTGGTTGCACTCTAGAGCCCTTCTAACTGTTGTTTTGACAGACAATCAGGTTCAATCTCAGGTACGCAAATGAGCTTCATGACATTCCTTCTGGTGCGCTTTTTATTTTGACTGTGCAGGCGTACCTGTGCACCATTTATGTGCAACTCTGTGTATAGTTTATGCCACACCTTGGATGTTGTTCATTACCTAGTGCCAGACAGCAGGGGATGACCATGCCCCCTGCTGTCAAGACATGTCACAACATCATATGACCCTTGTGAGAAGGGCTGCATGTGTAGGTGAAATACACTGTTATGGTAGTGAAAATGTATTTACCTGTGTCCTGATGCATCTCAGTAATCCAGGTGGAAAAATCAAAAAAAGAAAAAATTAAGTAGGTCCTCTGGATGGGTTTTTTTCTTTAATAAAAAGTTTTGTCTCTCCTCAAAAAACGTTTCATTAAAGGGGCAATGTTATGTGTTTCTCAGGCATACATTTAAATACTATACCATAATGAAGTATCTATGTCACCTTTAGCTGTTATTAAAATGCTGTTTTATGTTTAAATAAAAAATAAACTTATCTTCTCATCACTTCCTCTTCTAAACACCTTGAAATTGGCCTCTGTCTCTTTAACCCTCTGAGGTCAACACCCGCTCTAGAGCGGGCGATCACGTGATGTGTTTAAATGTCTTCTGTTATAAATATGACAGCATACTGAGCATTCATTTCAACTGGGTTTGATAGTACGGACTTCAAACTAAATAAAGTGCTTTTTTATTGATATTGTTTTTATTTACTTCCAAACAAAACGAGATTTATGATGTATAATTTTCGTCATCATTTTGTGCAGGTTTTTACGCATTCAGTGAACGTTTTGTGATCAGAAAGTGACTGATTGCATCATGACAGGGATTTTTCAGATTTTTTTGAACGCACCACATTTCCAGCAGCAAATCAAAAACTTTTCTCAGAAAAACACGAGGAAGCAAGCAGCAGCCGCCCGGGAGGAGAAAGTTTTGGAGAGACGAAGAGGACGGAGCATTATGGACACTTTGGATGAAGGATTTAGCTAGCACTGTTTTTGGTTTGCTTGTGTAAGTGTGTTAGAGTGCGTGAGTTTGTGTAGTAGTTTGTTTGTCTGTCTGTCAACATGAATTGTCGTTATATGACAGCTGAACAAGCTCTGCGTACTTATGAGCTTGGTGAGGATGATGATGGCAGCGCGCACAGAGATGAATCGGACACGTTGGAGCTGAGGTTTGTCTTTATTTTCCTTTGATTATTTGACATTGAACATGTACAGTAAAAATATTCAGAGTAGAGTGGCACTGCACAAGATTATACAAGCTAATTTATATCTGCAGGTGGATGACCCGTCAGTATTTTTTTTTCGTGAAGAGGAGGAGGAGGAAGAGGTGGTGGTGGTGGTGGTGGTGGTGGTGGCGGCGGCCTTGCAGACCCGCTCTGTCCGTGTGAGGTCCACGTCAAATGTCCAGGGGTCGGATTTATAAAACTGGCGTATGCACAATTTGAGGCCAGAAACTTGCGTACGCCACTTTTTACGCCAAGGTTGTGATTTATAAAATCCAAACTTGATGTAAAAATGTGCGGTGCCTCACGCCAGCTCTGGCCCATGCGTACACTCATTTTGGAGACGTGAAACTGCGACACAGATGGTGAAGTGAGGAATTAGAGCCACACTGTGTCATGATTACTGTCAGATATTTAATTTACCTTCATAGTCAGACTAGATTTTTATTCAACTTTATCATCAGCTTTCTTAACAAGTAATATTTATGCTTCTGCTGCTGCTGAGCCATGAGGACCTTTTGAAATAAAAAACTTAAATCTTAAATAAAAGTTCCCGTGCGCAACTCCCTTCATCTGCTTCCTCCTCAGACGACCCTGACCCACAGACCCCTCCC